ACGGGCATGCAGAAGACAGACATCTAGGTCTTCTGTTCTTTAGTTCCAAACAGAGATGATGTACCTCGCGATGGTGGTTCCAAGGGAAGCAACAAAAAGAAGAATTCCTCGTAATTAACGAACGCAGCTCTAAAAGATCTTTCAAACCAGAGAAAAAGAAGCGATATTTCCTACATCTGAGACATTGCTTGCTTTGTCTTTTCTGGGACGTACCATGTTAAGTCACCAATCATTATGCGTTCCAAGCAATTCTTGCTATCTGTTGCGGATCTCTGAAGTTGTGTCTCGCTGAACGATTTTGTACTAGCTTGTTGTACAGACGTGACAGGATATATTTGGTGTCTGCCTAGACAACAGTTCGTATTGAGTCACATACGGTAATTTGGTGATGGATGGTTTCTTACAGTATCTCCTCCTCCATGGTGAATGGATGGTTTCTTACAGTATCTTCTCCTTCATGTTGAATAGCATCGTTTGGTCCGATCAAACCATTCTGTACAATGTGCCTTCCTATCGCCATATAGGGTTTCCAGACTGAGGTGTTGGTTCTCTCAGCAACTAGGAATTTGGACGACTACGGTGTCTAACTGCACTCGGCACGTATCTCTCTCGTGTAATGGATTTAGCTCAATGTGTTGTTGTGTTGTAATCACTTGTTACTTACTTACTGTTACTGTATTTTATATCGATATTATTGTTGTTTTATAATTTAAACACTAACTCCATTTTCGATATATAGCTCCTTTTACATTGTCAATACATATTCACAACAGGCTCTCTATACACCTACAATTTCACAAATACATGCCACTATGTCACTCACAATTACACACCACTATACCACTCACAATACACACACATAAATTATATCGTAGAGTTCTATTTTTCATTTAAAATTTGGGGAAGCCATTTTACCTCTGGCGATCTGATCAACCCCTGACGTCATGAGTCCTGCCAAGACAACCAACTGTAGATATGCCTAAGACCAATCGCCAGCTCGGCTAAAAAATGATCCATAGTCAAATCGTCATCGCTAAACCATGGCCTAGGTGGCATACCTATGGCCAGTTGTCGTGACAGGACAAGTTTTCACCAGGAGATTGTCAGACCCGAGGTTCATAGAGGCTTCCCCGGCGGGCGCTGGGCCGGCAATGGCAACAATTGGTCGTTTCTAGGAACTCTATAGACTTTATCTATCGAAGGATGAATCAATCCGTGTCAGATATATTAATTATGAATCTTGGATCAAACTTATTTATTGATAACTTCCAGTATTTCGACGTTGTTGGCTCTGCTATCCGCTACAAACACTTGGAATTCTACCCACAGCCTCGGATTATTGGAAGATTAAATTGCTTTGATCCAAGATATAGGCGATATCTTCCTGATTCATATATTGATATAAGAATGTTAAAATGGATAAATTGTAATGAAACACTATTTGGAATATTTTAAAATTTTGTTTTGTTAACATATTGCCAGTTTAGCGCAAGCTGAAGCTAAACTATTAAATCATGATTTATTATAATTGTATATTTTATAATTAATCATATATTTGATGTATAATTTGTAATATGGGCACATCAACAAGATTCTGCGGAACATTCACTCGAGCAGCATATAGAAATAAGAAAGATTCAAAATTTGAATTAGCCTTCACATTTTAATATTGTAACATGGATGACAAGATACCAGAGTAAAGTTGGGGAAAGAGGGGTGGACTCCAGCTGCCCCCGCTGCCATGTGGCAGGCGCCATAAACAGCATTCCTGTGTGGGGGAGGACAGAGTCTGGTTACATCTGCGGCAAGGAGAAGACGTGGCGACCTGCCTCCGGGCGTGTGGATGATCCTACAAGGCGGTGCCAGGAGAGACTGACATCGGAGCGGTCTACAAGGCGGTGTAGTCCAAGCTGGAGGTGTTGTGTGGAGCGGGAAGCTTCACAAGAGTGACATCCACGGCGCCAAGGATTCTTCTAACGGGGAAGTTGAAGGCAAGTCCAACTGTTATATTCCTTCTGTTAAGTGAGATACAATAAAACGCTAACTTTAGCTGCAATCCCTTCGAACTCACATGTGTATCTTTGTGGCTTCCTGAGTAGACAAAGTACAGCGTCTGGGTACGACGTAACAATATTTCTATTCAGCTATATACATGCAAAATTATCTAATATTCCAAGTAGTTTTCATGGAGAATAGTAGCAAACACAAATTTATATTTTGTGGAAAATATTCAGCAGTTTTGTTATTTATTTTGTGAAAAGTGAATTTTACAAATTCCTCGCGGATATTAAAGATGTTGGCGAGGATTGTGATGGTATTGATTGATCATCATTACGTATCATCATAAGTTAAAACATATTGTAGCAAAGTATTTTATTAACAGAGTATCAATTTCTATGTTTATATTTTGTTACTCTGTAAACTTCCCTCATTGCTTATCTTTTGTTTATCATTCATAGTTTGTTCTTGCCTTAAATAAATTTTTGTATCATCCTGAAGTTTGTCTCTCCTAAATTTCTACGTGGCATTTTGGTGGAGATGCTGGGTAGATTAGGGAAGGCAAAACTGAAGATCGCTGAGAAGACCTTAAAGCAATGCGTGTTGTGATCTACATTTTCGGAGACTGGCTCCAGGATTCCACCGCCGTGTCAAAGGTAAGACTTCGTTCCAAGATGACGATGTCCCTATAGACGACGATACGACGACAAAACCGCTCTTCACGCCGCAAGAAAAAGGACGCAAAGGTACTTAGGGCAATCTTCCAAGACTTCGATGGAATCCTTGGCAGAAGCACGTCAGATCCATGTCAGTAACTACAATAAATGCAAGCTGTGGGTCACAGGTCCCATAGAGAAGGAGCTATGTATCAAGGCATTTATTATACAAATGAAAACATCAAATCGCGAATGTTTCTTTTCACAAATATATCAAACTTCTACTGTCCTTACTGCGATGAAAAAATTGGGAGGGCTTGACTCATCATGGTGAACCCTTCCAGCCGTTTCGCCAATATAATCTACAAGACCGCTTCTTTAGAGCTCTAATACTGTATTGGATTCTTCTGTTTTTATATACTGCATTGAATGGTGGAATCTTATAAATGGTATTTAAGCAAACTATAGACATAAGCTTTTAGAAGAATAAAAGCAGAATGATCCAAAACAGTATTACAGCTCTAAAGAAGCGGTCTGGTAGATTAAATTGGCGAAACCGCTGGTAGGGTTCACCACTGATGAGCCAAGCCTTCCCAATATTTTTTCATCGCAGTAAGGACAGTAGAAGTTTGATTTATTTGTGAAAAGAAACATTCGCGTCTTAATGTTTTCATTTGTTATATATAGATGGCGTGTTATTGATTTATAATACAAAATGTGTCAATATACTTCTGTAGTGGATGTTTGGTCAAAAATTATTATTTGAAACAAATTTAATCATTTATCTGTAAAAGTATTAATCTTAAAAAGCCGTATGACCTGATCATTGCCCGGGATGTATTTGAGGACATTTTAACTCGAGTATATATGTTTAAAATAACATGATGATTGTTAAATCAAATAATTTTTTTCACAATTAATACAGTAAAACCTGTCTATAGCGCCTCCCTCTCTACAGCGCCCGATTTTAAATACGTAGTACGATGCGATTTACATTAAAAGTGACCTGTCTTTAGCACCCCCTCTCTATAGCACCCTATTTTGGTGAGTCCCAAGAGGGGGCGCTATAGACAGGTTTAACTGTATCCAGTTTTGCTTGTTTTCTTTCCAATTGAATGTTCTCCCATGAAAAATGCTTTAACAAATATACTGTCAAGAGGCTTTGCGGCTCCAATCACGAGAGGCCCCATGGGACGCCTGTCAATCATCCCTGGACTCCGGGGGTGGATCCACGGGTGTGAGGAATTCTCGGAATCTGATCGGCAAATAGGGGGGGGGGGCGCCTCGGTGGCTGACGACGCTCATTATTATTATCTTTACCTTGGGGTAAGTTGTATTATCATCTGACCCTCTCTCTCTCTTCCTATAAATACCTCTTGTATATAATTATATTGGAGAACTAAAAGGTAAATACCCACCTTTATAATAAATTAATTATTCCCAAACTTGCCCTTGCTTTATATATCTCCGCGACAATATTGTTCATTATAATTGTATCATTTATTATCACTCTAAAGTGAAATAATTCGAAAAGAATAAATAAAAATGGAACACAAAGTAATGGTGATAGTTTCAATAATAGATCATGGGAATACTCATGAGTAAAAATTAGAGGGGGGATAAATGATATAACATATAGTTTAATACATGTGTTAATTATATTGTCAAATTATTTGACAAACAAAAGCAGTTTTAATCTTTTCAGTTATGCTGGAAGAATGTTGTTTATTTGTTAAGTGATCTCCCACGTCATTGGACCAATGTGGCCATGTTTGTACGTAAAAGAGGGTTGAAACGGAATGCGAAGAATCGTGGAGTGGTGTTCGAGTGGAGACGCTTAAAGCGTTCTCTGTGTGCTTGTCTGGTGATTCTCCTCGCATACCGGTTCGCTCCTTATCAACGCTGCAAATAAAAGATAAATACTGTTTTTATTTTATTTAACAAATCGTGTTTTTTTCTCCCTTTTTGTTGTTGGTGTTGTACTCTTGAGTGTACGTTCTTCTGTGTTTAAGTTACTCTTACTGTAGGCCCTAGTTATTGCTTTTGTGTGATAACCGTAAAAGTAATTTTTTGTCAATAAATACGCTTTGCAAATATTCACTTGGGAATAAACCGGAAAAATCTAGGTCATTAAGTGTCATTATATAATAATTATCTTATAATTTTATAATTCAAAAATATGCAAAATGTTTTGTAAAACGACATTTCAAAATTATCCCGCATGTGTTTCTTTTTAAACGAAAAACTAAATTTATTTTTAAGGAGAAATAATGATTATTTCGAATTTTAGTGATGAAGTATGAAAGGATGAATTGTGAAGAGTAATGATAAATGGAAAAATAAAGTGTCCAGGGATGGAAATCGAACCCACAGTGTTCCGCTTACTGGGCAGATGCCATGTCCACTAGGCTACCCTGGACATATTTTTCTGTTCGTAAATGTTTTATTTATTATATCATTTTAGTCTTTTTGATAGCTTATATGTTGATCTATATATTCAGCAATCAACATGTAAAATGTTACAATGGTTTATTCAGTATTTTTGTGGAGAAAAGTAACAAATGGATGTTTGCTCGAAAATTGCTCTATCAAATATTCGTTAGGTAAACTTTTACTCAGGTTAAACCCGGGTACATCCACGAGTAATCCTTATATCTATAAAAATGAAATCCAAAATCAATGTTTGTTATCGCGTTACGCAAAATCTACAGAATCAATCATTATGAAATTTCGCATGTAGGTAGCTGAAGATTTCGTTTAACATATAGGCTATTCAAAAAAAACTAAAAAGGTTAATGTGCTATTTTCAAAAAATGTAAAACCAAAAAGCGTTAGTTCCAGCCTTTTACCGCTTGGGCGCAGCACTGTTCGCGACCATAAATGAATTTGATTGGTCAATAATTTTACACGTAGTTTGTTTACACGATGAATGCTAGTATTTATATATAAAGTAACGCGATATTATTTTTATGCGTTGTGTTAATAAGTTAATGGATTGTTGAAAATACATATATATTATTTTTCAAACAAAATATTTTTTCTATATCTGACAGAATTCAATTAAATCATCATATTTGAATAAAATAGAGGATGCAAAATCGCTTAAAATGAAAATTCAGAAAACTCTATACAGAAGTAATCTTTTAAAATATCGCTTTAAAATATTTTAGCAAATTTTTGTCAATAATTATCTATATAATAGTTGTAAAATGATTGTTTTTATTTCGGTATTGAGTATTTTTATTATTATAAAATGGTTTTTAACGTGATTTCTGGTGATTTTGTGTATGTAACAATAATACAATTGTGTTATATTGGTGCTGTGCTTATGTTTTTTTTTATCACTAGTGCACATTGTACAGTCCATGATAATCATGGTGAGTAGTTAGCGACTGATTTTACTGTAAGTATAGCACATGTTTGTACACATGAAAAGCAGTTCGACTTTTGCACTTACAAATGTGCCAGAGCCCCGTTGGTTACTTATACTCCATGGCAGAGTTGGAATTTTACAAGAATCGGGGGACATTGGAGCATTTTTTTAATTAGAAAAAAAAAGTGTCCAATGCAGGAATCGATCTAGGGTCGTAGCGGTCGAAAATCAATGGTTTAGATGATCGTTCCACCTACTCCGTGAGCTTATACGTGTGAAGAGAAACTGAGAACAAAAGATGATGACGGCAAGGTGTCCTATTGTGTTCCCAGCGGAGTTCCGGAGTGATAGGTTAATTGAAATGCAGCATAATAGGAGCGTTGACAATGGGAGTAACTAATTGGGTGGAGGAATATTGTTTGTCTGCTTGCAACAATGTCCGGCAGGTCATCTCGTGAGAGGTCGCTGCTAAATCAGGTGTTTCTGATGGGACATATAGAATAGAACATCTGGTGACAGATACCTATAATCTATTAGATTGTTCCATAAATAATGTGGCCAATATATTTAGGTGCTGATATTGTCAAATTATATTGACAAATATTTGCAATCTTATCATATCTTATCTCAGGTTTTAGTGGAAAGAATTTTTGTTTTCGTTTGTTTGTGAACAAAATCTCTCCCGCATTCTCATTGGACGAATGTGGCCATGTTTGTATATAAAGTGGGCTATGGTATGAGTCGACGCGAGTGTGGTGGATTATCGTGTGGGGACGCTTAAAGTGTTCTCTGCGTGCTATATCCCTGTCTGGCAATCTCGTCGCATACCTGTGTAACCCCGGTCCGATCCCTACCTAAGCAGCAATAAAGCTAAGTACTGTTTTTTTATTTTATTTAACAAATTGTGATTTATTATTTACTTTTTTTTTTGTGTTGTACTTTTGAGTCCACGATTTTTCTGTGTTTAAGTTACTCTTACTGTAGGCCCTAGTATATTGTATTTGTGTGATAACCCGTACAAAGTAAACTTTTGTCAATATTTGAAAACTTTTGTGGTGCAAATATATTACAACCACAGATAAAAATAGGATAAACGCATTCATGAGAATCTACCTTCGGACAAGTATAGGAGCTCCATTCAACCTATCAAACAAGATACTGAAGGAGGACTTTAACCAACCCGAACTAGAAGATATGTACCAAACTTCCGTTAAGTAATTATACCTTCAAATGTAAAAATCAAATAATCCAACCATACAATATATTCTACAAAATAAAGGAAATATCAATCCCCGATTCCGACGACCTGGCCCTAACGTTTAGTTAAGAGCTTATCGCCCAACAGCTGCCCTCCTGCAAGGTCCGGGGGGACCACCTCTACTCCACCAACTCGCCATGTGTAACTAGCCAGGACAAGGTGAGCTGTGCTCGAATGTAACACCTGTAAATTGAGACGAAATAAATAAGAATACTTTTATATACTAATATTTTTCATCGTAAAGATAGAAGCTGCCAGGCCGGCATTCATAGTTCTTCAAATTAAAGATACTTCGGCCAGTAAATATTTTTATTGTCTCGACATTTCGACAAAAATCTTTTGTCCTCGTCAGGAGCGAACAGAAATTAAAACATTTGGCAAAGCGTTAAAAATTGTTCTATTTTTGTTCAATTTTGGTTCGTTTCTGACGAGGACAAAAGATTTTTGTCGAAACAATAAACAGATTTACTGGCCGAAGTATCTTTAATTTGATATTTTCAGTGATATGCTAACCTATGCACGGTGTGGCCACTGGACATGCATCGGACCTGGAGGCTGTTGTTGGGTTCTGCGCTGCCTGGAGTATAGGAGCTCCATCTATACTTCCTTCCTGTGGTGAATCTGTATAATACCGGTTGTCTTAATAAAGCTGTATGTGTGTATATTTGAATGCCATATTATTTTTGTACATTCCTGTTATATATACGAAATCATGTCACTTTGTTTTGATCCAATATTTTGTGTGATTTCAGAGTGTCTTCTCAAATACTTCCAAAACAATATCCGCATAATAAGGGATCAGTTTCTTCAACGGACCTTGGTTAAAGATTGCTCCTGCACTTCTCTCCCTACGCCTGCTGCTTCAGTGCCTTTAAAGAAATCATCAGGGGCTCGACAAAGGACATTACTCAGATGCTGTAAATCCTCAGTCTTTCTTCTAGACAATTAAAATGAATTTATTGACATCTTGTAAATACATGCAAAAATGAACAGCCTGCACCATTTTAAGAAGATAATTATATATATATGTCATAATTTGTATATAATTGTATGCACCCCCGACCCACTATGCATGTACAATGTATGATTTTCAAAGATTTAATAAAGTAAGGTAACTGGAGGAAAGGAAGTGGCAACAAGACATAGGAAGCAGGCTAAAAGCGGGCACAAGTATAAATAACTTGTACAGTCAATACTTCCTCGCAAAGCCCGGACGTATCTGGTATCCGCAGAAGTTATATTAGTATAGAGACGCCCAATATTTCCGGACAGGACCGGACGTATTTTGATAACGCGGGAGTAAATAGAGTCGAACTAACACCCGATACTTCCTATCAGGCCGGGCATATCTTTCACCAAAGAAAGCCGCCGGTCCAATTAGGAAGGAATAACTAAATAGGTCAACCAATAGAAAAACGGGCACGTTCCATCCTTCGACCAATGGGAAGGAAGACAACTCGTGGTGTTAAATCGAAAGACAAGAATTGTCAGTAGTGATTTGGCTTCCAACAAGGTGACATCTGCTCTAGACCTCTCTCCCTCTGCTCATCCCACAGCTAAGTTCAATCACCGCCATGTGATCAGATAATTAACAATCAAAACCCGCTCCGCTCTTCTCAAGCTTTCTTTCCTCCAACCCAGTTGCCTTTTATTTTCAAACCCCATCACGTGTCCTGATTATTCCTAACTGTATGCTTCAACTTCCACTCAAACGACTGCGTTTCAACCAATCCTCACCATTCAAATCAAACAACAAGAAATTCCGCAACGATATTGTCACAGAACGGTTAAGTCGACAGGATTCTACAACAGTGTAATACATCAAATATTGCAGTGTAATAACTTTGGATATATTACATAAAGTCGACAGGATTCTACAACAGTGTAATACATCAAATATTGCAGTGTAATAACTTTGGATTATATTACATAGAGTCGACAGGATAAAGATATTATGGAGATTAATCAGGATTTAATAAGCGTAAAAACGGACAACCCTACGAAAGAAAGAGGGAAGAAACTGGCAACGAGCGAAGCGACAAAACACACCCTGGCGACAATAATTTTGCAGCTGACCGCCGCACTTCAAGGAGCAAGGTCCACTCAACTACAAACGACGTTCCGTAGCGCCACCCCCGGAGCAGCCCACACCCCCCGCCGACCGAAAGGCGAGATGAGCGCGGCAGCCGACGCACGTGCCACCACCCCAGGCAAGTGTCACCGAGACCGGACACCGACCACCGAGGAGTCATCCACCGCCATGCCGTACCCGTATCACAGCACACCCCGACGCCCAGGTGCATGGAATGCACCTCTTCCGCCGTCCAACTGCAAGTTCTGCGGCGCGAGGCACTGGCACAGCGAATGCCGACATCGACCAGTCCCGACGGCCCACGAAAAAGTGCGGACAGTGCAAACAGTCCCACAACAACCAAGTCAAGCCAGAGACCCCCCAGCCGAGCAGACTTTTCGAGACTAAGGTAGGCACCCCCCCTATGGCGTCAAGAATTGACTTTGAACTCTTACCTAACCCTACCTACCCCTTTAACCATGTATCTAAACATGTACCAAATGAATGCAAGCACGGGCTAGACCAAAACCTGTCCCAAAGGACTCGTACAGCACACAAAGCTTTCACACATGGAAACCCTTGCCTGCATTCATTGCCCAAACCTCAAATATTTACATGCCACCATTCTAATCTCACACCACGCAACTTTTCATGCCCACAACATATAAAGCCACCACGACTTCAACCTACAATTCCAATAATGCCCAAAAAAGTGTC